TCCATGGCTAGTTCGAAGATTTTCCAGCTAGCTGTGACACTGTGTGTGTGTGTGATTACACTCCATATTATATCCCAGTACTGTATATCCCCAATCAATCCCGTTCAATTCTACTACCATTTCTATTCATATCCCATGAGTATCCCACTAATATCCCTTTACACTGGCTGGTTAAGAACGCATTTCCCAGTTCATTGATTGTGAAAATCCCCAACAAAAACTGGATGGTATAATCCCATATACTCATATAGTAATCAATCAACAGAGGTTTTGAAGACTGGTGCAATGTCCTATGGTTGGTTTATGTATCCCATATGTTTCTGTATCATCATCATCATCATCATCATCATCATCATCATCATCATCATCATCACCATCATCATCATCATCATCATCATCATCGTCATCATCATCATCATCATCGAACATTGTTAACAACAATTATATGATCACTATCAATCACTATTAACCATGGATTCTCACCTCAACCCTGCCGGTCCCTGCCGGGCCCTGCCGCCATGTCACCCTCAGCCACTGCGTCAAGACGGCCGGCTGAAATTCGGTGCTCACGAAGCCACTGGCTCCGTTCACCGTGGCCAGATCACTCCACTTGATCCCATCCGGAGCACTCTGAAGGACCTGAACAAACTGGGGGTGGGTCAGGGTGAGTCAACCTGGGGACCGAACCCTCCCAAATATAAAGGCTTCATCGGGGACACAGGCTATATATATATATTATGTGCATACAATACATATTTGTTTTTTGATACTGGACAGACAAGCAACAAGGTAGATGGATGGATAGATAGATGGGTTGATTGGATGATTAGACAATCAATAATCATATGGATAGGTAAGTAGATAGATAGATACACAGATAGACAGACAGACAGACAGATAGATAGATCGATAGATCGATAGAAAAATACATAGCCAGATTTAGATAGATTATAAGTAGATCTCTCAGGTCTCCAGATTCAGATTTTTCAAATGTCGAGCCAGTTCTTGTGAGCACCAAGCTGCACTCCTATGATCTCCTACACTGCCGGGCAAGGCACAAATTGCTGTGGCACATCACCAAAGAGCAGCACCACGCGATTCACTGCATAGAGTCCCAGAAGGTCCACCCACAGCCATTGATCGTTCAAAGACACTGAAGCCCATTGAGATTCCACGTCCCCATCCACGGCCTTGTAGGCATGTTCTGTGGCAGATCGGAAGGACGACGACAGCACCGGCTTTTGGAACGCCTCGGCGATTCTAGCGAACTGCAGGCTGCAGCGGGACCTATCATTGAAGCTTGGGATAATCCCTAAAAGCAACAAGGAACTTGGTACTTGGATGTACTTGGATGTACTTGGTACTAATCTCAAATCTCCTGCAAGCTGCAAGATTAGGTCCATAGAACGGAGTTGTGGATGGACCAACTGTGCTTGTCACCACTGTCGTTTCAGGCTGGGTGGTGACCACACCAGACAAGGTCGTGCCAACCTCGGTGGTCGCGACAGTCGCCACGGTGGAGGTCGATGTGGTGCTCGCTGTGGTGCTTGCGCTGGTGACAGGTGTCTCGGTGTCTTCGAACACCTGAGACTGAAAAGCTGGGGCGAATGAATTTTGCAAAGGGTTTGCTTGGTTTTCAACTGCACAAATATTTCTCATTGGGGATCATCATCTCGGGCGAACAAAAATGACTGAAACCAGGTTGCGGGTGGGCAAGGCGCCCGGTGGTTTTCAAGCCTTCGGGACAAGATGCATGTGTGTGTGTGCGCACGCTCTTTTTAATCTTGAGATCTTTCGTCCATCTTGCGCACCACCTGTGCCAGCTCTCTGAGCATGGCTACAGGCGAGCATGACGACGTGGCTACAGAGCAACATAGCATCGAGATAGTGCGTAAGTGCAAGAGAAGATCTTGTTAAAGTAGCATCGAGATAGTGTGTAAGTGCTCCACGAGATCTTTGCAACATAGTATCGAGATAGTGTGTAAGTGCAAGAGAAGATCTTATTAAAGTAGCATCGAGATAGTGTGTAAGTGCTCGACAAGATCTTAGCAACATAGCATCGAGATAGTGTGTACATGGAAGTCAAAGTAAGACGCACCGCTTACACCTTTCAGCCTCACTTAATAGATGCCGCGGACACCGGTATTTGGATCGAACAGAACCTGAGAAAAAAACTGACATGTGCCCAAATGAAGGTAGATGGCACCGCACTGGGAGTTGCGCCATCTACGCATGCCAGGTTTTATTTAAATGCGCAAACCATACTGCGGAAATGTAATGACATTTGTGGAAAAAAATGCACCATGCTTTCCTTCTTTTTCCACGGCAGTCAACAGATGCATATAGTACGGACGGATGCATATGGTACGGATACATACGTGGTTCTTGTGGCCCAGTTGCGCCATCTACTGTGCATTCGATTTGGTGGAACATGTGCATGAGTTTTGGAGAGAGCGCTCACATGAATACGCCAGTGACATGTGAGTTGCGCCATCTATGTGGCTGCAATATGGGGAGCTTCCCTGTGTGCTTCTGGAGTGGCGCCATCTATGGCAGTGGCAAGCATGACCAAACTGCACGCACCCCGGTTGCGAAAGCTCCTCAGATTCAACTTGTCCCCCGAATACTAAATATGTAGCCCGTTATTTGCCCAAAAAGATGGCTCAGGTGCGCACGCGATATTAATGCGAGTTGCGCCATGTACCTAGCCCCCCCTGGGGGGCCAAGGTACATGCACAACTAGTGTATTCTGCGCCACTTACTTTTACCTCCAAGTAAGTGCAAGAAAAGATCTTGTTAAAGTAGCATCGAGATAGTGTGTAAGTGCTCGACAACATCTTAGCAACATAGCATCGAGATAGTGTGTAAGTGCAAGAGAAGATCTTGTTAAAGTAGCATCGAGATAGTGTGTAAGTGCTCGACAAGATCTGAGCAACATAGCATCGAGATAGTGTGTAAGTGCAAGAGAAGATCTTGTTAAAGTAGCATCGAGATAGTGCGTAAGAGCTCGACAAGATCTTAGCAACATAGCATCGAGATAATGTGAAGTGCTCGACAAGATCTTGGCAAAATGGCATCGAGATAGTGTGTAAGTGCAAGAGAAGATCTTGTTAAAGTAGCATCGAGATGGTGTGCAAGTGCTCGACAAGATCTTAGCAACATAGCATCGAGATAGTGTGTAAGTGCAAGAGAAAGATCTTGTTAAAGTAGCATCGAGATAGTGTGTAAGTTTTAGACGGGGGGTCTTAGTAACGCAGCATCGAGACAGTGTGACTGTGTATCTTGGTAAGGTAGCATCCACATCTTGTGCATGTGAGCATGAACGTTAATAGCCCACCCCACCACCCACATCACGTGCATGGTTGAACAAATATGCAACTACCAGGCACCTCATGCCCCCGCTAGCAACCACCAACACGACCTGGTTTGGTACTGTTTTTCATTGACTTGCAGTGCAACCTTTCAGTGGTTGGTCACACTACAGGGGGTAGAAAAACGCCGGACCCACCTGCAAACTATCGATCCTAACTTCCGCACAAAACGATCATTGAGTTTACCCACGAAAATGTGGTGCCAGTGGACGCGCGCAATCATTGAGGTTCCAGATTCAACAAATCAATTTGGAGGTTCACTCATATTCGAACCAATCAATCTGCAGACTTCACCATCCCCCTGCCCAGGCCACCACCATCGAATCAATGTGGTAAACCCAGTTCATAAAGCCCAACATGCGTCAATGTTTATCTGAACCCCAAATAGTAGATAGGTTTGTCTGAGAATAGGGTATCCAAAAATCCCATCGTTTAAGAACTAATTTTCTCGCTTAAAACTGGCGTTTCATGGGTATCCTTATTTTGAACCAGCCATACCCCCCACCCTGACCTGAAACTCCCAAAGCCGCAGATCGCCACTTCCCTGGATCACCACCCGCACCCATCGTGCAAAGCTGGGCCGCGGCAAGTCGGAACGCAACAACTCGGAAGAGCCCGCGACCACGGCCAAGTTGCTCCAAGCATCAGCTTCCGTGGCGCCCTGCAACACATAACCTGAAGAGGATTATCTAAGCCGGCAAATGCCCAGTTTCTTGAACAGGGTTGCACAACCAACACCCCAAATACAAGGGGATAAAAATGGATAGGCAAAATTACACTGTTTTGATCTCTTGTGGCCAGCATTTGCCTACAATGGGTTGGAGCAACCATGTTGAAGGATCACACAAGGTGGGTTTTCCATTGCCAGAAAACATGATGATGGTTGAACCAAACATCACCCGGAAGATTCCCCTCTGAACAATCGGAAAGTTTATTCAGCACCAACTGAACCCAAAACAATTTCCAAAACAGCGATTATACAATATATACAGAAATTCAACCCCCCCAAAAAAAGTACGACTCAACCAACTAAAAAAAAAAGTACAGGTACAACGGTACAACTCAACCTTGCCATATACCCAGCAACTTGTGGGATAAAATTCCCCCCACAACAGCACCACATGGCTCAAGGCGTGTACCTCTCCCAGGTCCACCGAGATCCACGGGTTCTGCTCCGTGCTGACTGGGCTCCAGCGGGTCACGAAGAGCCCGTCCACGGCCCGCGCCGCGGCGAAGTCGGCGGAGAGATCGGAGGACGCAACGGCCAGGCGGTACAGGGCCAGGTTCTCCTGCAAAATGGGGTGATCCCCAAGTCACCATGAGTTTCCTAAAAATATCTAAAATGCTGAAAAAATTGGGATGATTTGGGGTACCCCCCCTTGTGACAAAATCAACCGCCAACTAGACAAGCATAGATGGGGAGTATATCAACTATAATTGAGTTTATATCAAACGTATCAAGCACCAACCAAAGGGGGTAAACTCCGGTAATTTGACAGTTTGCTATGGAAAATCACAAGTTCTAATATACGTATAAATGGGCCATGGTTTCTAGATGATACAATAGCGACGCTGCGTAACACTGTTGTATCCGTGTGACATAGTATCCATAACAGCTGGAAATGGGAACCCGGAAGGATATCGGATATCGACTGGATCCACCACCAACAGAGCCGGAAATTGATTACATCTAATCAAAAATCTAAAAACCAACAACAAGTGATACAGATACCCTCCACCAATTTGGAGGACGTGAAGATGGTTGGATGTGGTTGATCCAACATCCAGCGACCATATTCAATGCATAAGTTGGGATCTCTTTATCAGCATATGAATGGATGGAAAGGATCAATTGCTGTGAACTATCAGCAATGATTGGGTTGCTTTTCAATGTTTGTAGGAACCCTGGGTTTTCACCAATAAAATGGGAGTTTCCTGGAACTGTTCGTCATCCGATTCCGGAAATCAAGGATCAACCAGTGGATCGACAGATTGTTGAAATAACGTGGATTTACAATGCGTGTAATCATCAATAGATTCCAAGTTTATATAAGTTGGAAAAATTAAAGCAGAAATGATCAGCACATCAACCATCAACAAAAACCTATAGATCAAGAGGTTTCAACAGTTGGGGGATAGTTTGCAACCAACGCATTTCGGTCACAGGGATGGTTCGACCCTTTAGTGATCTCTCCGGACATCACCATTTCGTTTCCCAACTATCAAGTATACTTAAGTCATCTCAAACCCAGAACATTGGGTTATTAGGATGTTGTTGGCTCTGAAAGAATCGGTATGAATCGGTCATTCGTAGATCCATTGACTGTTTTTCTAACTGGTTTTCCTGCGGTTGCCCAGCCTGTTGAACATCAGCTGAGCATGATGGAGAAAAAATCGGTTAGCGGTTTTCTCACTATCCCTGCAGCTGAAACTCCCATTCTTTGCTAGTGAATCATCATTTTTCTATATGTTTCCTAGATTTTTCCCAATTTTCCATGGTTTTTCTCCTAAATTCTCCATCCACATCCCCGCCTCAGGCGCTTCGGTGGACCCGGTGCTGGACGCCAGGCTGGTGCTGGGACTCGGCCCGGTACCACCATTGGCGGCCTCCAGGGAGGCGGTCCAATAAAGGGCCCAGGCCCAGGTGAGGCCGTCGTCCATGTGCTCCGGTAACATGGCACTCAACCTGACAATGAGACAAAAAATGACAAAAATGGAAATAAATTAATGGTGGATGTTCATCTGATTTTCTGAAATGACACAAATGGACAAATGATGACATCAAATGTTCTGGTCAGGGTTGTTATTACCATTATCTAATGTGGATACTGTAATAATCATGACACCATTGGTTGATGTTGTTGGTCATCTTTTTTGTTGGTGTTTGTCATGGTTTGTCTGATTTCTTCATGTTTTGTCATTGTCATTTTTGGTCATGGCTTGGAATTGCTTGTCATGGTGTGTCTTGTCATTTTCTGATTTGTTTATAGTAATTTCATTGACCCTTGTTGACCCAAACAAATTGGGAAGGAACTGCATAAGAAAATGGAGAGTTTAAGCACCAAAGATCGTTGCTTTAGCCCTAAAGATCGGTTATTGCAAAGTTGAGGTTTTTGTCAACAAACCTGGCATTGCGGACCTTGCAACCCTGACACGTGATTGGTCTTTTGTTTGTGAATCATGGTGACAACGAAATGCGAAAAAGGTCACTCCACTTGGGGACCCTTCATCCATGGCCATTACCTCTCGAACCGGGATGGATCAAGTTGCATGGTAACAGTGGTAACATCACCCAACATTCCATGCCTAGGAATATGATGGAATGGAGGTCTGATGGCAAACATCCCTGCCCTTTCGAATCTAAGCTTGAATGCGCCAGGTATGATGTTCGCCATTGAAATTAAGGACTTCCTAACTAGCTCAAAAAAATCACCCAAGAGTAGACACTCCCATTGTTTCACCAAGTCTCCAGTGGTGTTTTCAGGGACCCCCATAACATGTTCCCATTGTCGCTTCCCAAACACTTCTCATACCAGTGGGGTTCCGACTATGGGATCCCACGCTGAAAATTCCAGCAACAATTTCAGGCGGTTGACCTCTATCTGGTTTCAAGACAGTGAAGTTTAACCGCCCCAAAATGGAAAAATACAAGTTATTACAAGTTCTTACCTAGATTTGGTTGCTAAAGTTCCCCATCTTGGCGAATGTTGATTTGTTGAATCCCATGGAATCCCCGATCCTGTTTGGTTCAACACCTAAGTGTGTTCAAGTGTCTGTGTGTGTGTGTGCCTGTATTGAAGTACATACATATAAGATGTGTATATATATATACATATACATATACATATATATATCATATATTATCATCATTAGTATTATTATCATTATTAGTGTTGTTACTATATATATATATAATATTTATATATGTGTATTTACATGCACATATACTGAAACATGAAAAAAACATGAACCCCTCATCTTCATGTTGGTTTTCCGGGGTTCAAGCCTCGAACCCGGCGCCTGCTGTAAGCTTCTTGCGGCTCAATGATGGACAGGGTGCCAGTGACCAACAACGACGTCCAGGGATCCGTTGGACTCAGAGGCAGCCGCGACAGAACGTTGTCCCACTCCTCAGCAGGAGTCATGAGGTGGGCCCTGGTTTACAGCTAGGTGAACACAACTCCAATAACTATACTTAGTTATAGTATTATGTATATAAGTACGGTTTATGGTACCCATAACTGTACTTAATTTGTACTTAATTGGGTTTATAAACATATGTGCCATGGTCAAAACATAGTATTGTGTGGTAAAGTAAAAGTTTGCGAACTGGAAAATCACCATTCCTTCATAGGTAAAATCATCGAACTATCTGGCCCGTGGCTTCCATATGTGACTTTACCGGAGGGTATGTGGTTTATGGTCATCTAATAGAAATCCATACATACCGGGTATCAGACCCCCAGAGGTGACGTACGAAAATCGACCCTGGGCATGGGCGCATCTGCCCCATTTTGGGGGGGGACTTACCGAGCTGGGGAGCCTGGGGAGTGGTTTTTCATATCCATGACATGATATCATAATGTATTAGATATGAGATGATATCATATGATAGGTTCTGTCATATTCATTTAGTGATGGCTAACTATGGGTACCTTTTTTTTGTGCCATGGTTTTTCTCATGACACTAACCCCATCACCCAGCCCCAGGCGCCCCCAGCCCCCCGGGCCCCCAGCTCCTGGCGGCAGAACTCGGGGGTCCTGATCATCAACAGGGCGGGACTAACAGGAAGCATCTGGATGCCATGGATGAAGTCGTATCGCCAGCCGAACCACGTGGCGTAATCCACCTTGTTCTGGAAGAAGATGCCTCCGGATGGGGCTGATCCTCTGGTCATGGCTGGAGGTGGATTTCCATTGCCGTGGTTACCGGAGGGTACTTCAACATCAATATAAAAATACAGAACCAGCGAGTCGAGGAGATATCCAGGGATGGAAATAAGAAATGCTTGAAACCAACGAACATGTTTGTTTATTTGTGTGTTTGCTTGTTTGTTTGGGAGGACGAGTTGTTGCAAAAGAAGGGCCCCCCTAGTGGCTTCGGTGCTTCTTTCAAGTTCCACCCTGGAAAAACGCCTGTCACGTGGTTTGTCACAAAGTCCTCTGGATGGTGTGGGTTGTCATCTGTCATCAGGAAAAACTCCCGAATTGTCAGAGCGCACAGGGTCAGCATGGTGCTTCCCAGTTCCTGCAAGGGCTCCCTCTGCAACACCATGCCCCACAAGTGAATGCCATACCTGGGATGGAAAGCTGGCAGATATGCTTGCATCATACCCGACCATTGTGTGCCTAGTCAACGGTTGAAATATGGGTTGTTTCTAAATAATTGAAGCTCCCAAACTGCTAAGCCAAGCTCTCAAAACATGCTGACAAATCCATACTTGCCCGTAGACTAGGAAAGTATCCCTTCCTATCTAACACAGTTTCTTGGCACCCCCAAAAGACATCAAGCACTCTAGAAAGCCTCGAAAAAGAAAGCGTCTTCTAAGTCTACATAAAAGAGTCCTAAATTCACCTGTGAACCATTTCTACACATTGCTACACATTGCTACACATTGCTACACATTGCTACCAGTCTGAGGCACAAGAGGTTCAGTTCTTCAGAGGTCGACTCTTGATCTTTGCCATCGGCCGATGGGATCACTCCACGACTCCAGCTGTGAAGATCGAACCAGTCGAAGGAACGGAACTGCGGGAAGTGGCTGTCCTGAAAAATGCGCCATCCTGGTGATGATTTTAGGGTTTTAATGGGTTTTACCATAACAGATTGGGGGGGACGTATCATAGTTTAACCATCCTGCAATGGGGATGCATGGATACATGGATCTGGATAAATGATGACTGAAATTGACCCATTGGGGATAGTTACCCTTACATTCACCATCATTCAAGCGGCGTCGCAGTGAAGGCCTTATAGTTGTACATGAGGTTAACATAGTCTAACCATCCTGAAATGAGGATTCATATCGCAATATTATAGTCTATAGTACTGAATACCTCATAATATCTCTCATATGGGCTCCCAAGATTAAGATATCCAATACTAACTTCAAGATCTATGGGGGGTACTATTTAGAGCGTAGGATTGCGCGTCAACACACATGAACACTCCCCCTGTCGGGCGAGTTGATCCATGCCTTTCTACAAGTACTGCTTGATAAGGAGTTTTGACCATAAAATATATTGAAAATCCATAATGTCCATTGATAATGACCATTGATAATGACCATTGATAATGACGGGAATTGGTAATCAACTTCACCAATAATCCAATGACAGGGCTCTTGATGAAGGGATCAAGCGAGAAGGGCCATGCACATGTCATCTTCCATAGTATGGGGCTATCTCAAAGTAAAAATAGTCCCCTTGACATCACCCAGAAAAGTGTCACAGCCCTCCCAACTACGAAAGCATTCAGGTCGACCAAGACATCACACCTATTGAAAATCCTGACATATGTTGGATGCTTTTTTGGGTCGATCCCCAATACGAAATTCCTAGAAAAAGGACACACACGTTGCCCTGAGAAGAGCGCTCCTGCACGCTGGGATTGGCGGTATCGCGGATCAAGGTATCCACAAAGGAAACGAACGGGGTGTTTTGGGCGAACTCGGGCTTCAACTTCACCAAAACTGCAGCGGACACCACGAAGTAACCTGATTTAGGGCACGTGGATCATCACCAAGAAATGAGCCGGTGAAGCCCGGTGAATGGGTGAGGATACTATTGTCATCTATGGTCCATTGTGATGTATACCATCATATCGTGATTTTTCCGGGTGTCGAATCAGCCAACATTCGAACTGCGTACTGTGTTCAACACAAACCTTATCGAGTGCAAGGCGGTGCCCATAGTTGGCTTATAACTAATATAACTGGGTGTGGTAACTATAACTATACTGGGCTGAATATCAACCAACAAACTGGACCACCTCGTGGTCATAAGACCCATTAATACCCATTAAGATATGTTTGCCATAAATTCTAGTGATGTTATACTCCAACTGAACGATTTGCAACTGGGGCACCACCTTACATTCCAGTATATCCCCACTGTCTCCCAGATATACAGTCATTGATATAATTACCATACTACCAAACAGTACTAACCATACATTACCATGTTAATCCAATCCATTATCATAGTAATATCAATTACCATACACCTGAGTTTCCATTACCATAAACCATAAACCTTGGGTATATTATTATATTACCCAACCATTACCTTACATTGATCTAGTCCCAGTGGCTGAAATGGTAGTGATGATCGTTGTAGCACGCATTGCCAAAGTCCGCCGTCCTGCAACCGGTGTCCGTGAAGCCTTCGCGGCTGGCCACGCCATGCCAGGCTGAGTCGTAGTAGAGGCCGATGGGGGCACCGTTGCACTCCGGCGCCGGCCCCGGGGCGTAGAGACATTGGAAGCCCCTCAGCAAGACTCCGAAACAAAGAGAAAATATGGGATTTAACTGATTTAACCAACGAAAATTGGGATTCAAACATCCAATTGAGGACTTAAGTTGACTTAACCAACTAGTATGTATCATTATGGGTTGGTTGAAGGGAATATCTAGAGGGAACACCTTTTATTCTTGGTTTCTACCAGCAAAATGTTCCTTCATCCAAGTCTGGGACACTTGAGTCCCAGAATTGGAAAGGATGTTGGATGTTTTTCAATGTTTGTTGAGAATAACATAGAATAACATAGAATAACCATGATCTAGAACCAAGGTCCCATGAAATCAATCCATTAGGAATCCATTAGTTTAAAACTGCTGGTTGCTGCTGGTGGCCCCCGAAGAGATCAAGTCAATTGGGATCATCCTCAACCCCCTTGAACTTCCCTCAAAAACTCCCGAACCATCAGCGGATGAACTGCTGCAGTGTGGTTTCAACCCCAAAATTTCCCCCAGCTACCCCCCGTTCACCCGCCTGAGCAACAAATTTGCACAGGACTGGGTATGGCTGTGCTCCCTTCCGTAATACTTCTCCAACATGAGGCAGGTGTAGGCCACCTGTGACAGGTAAAAGTGGTGGGTTATTGGCTCCAAGGGCTCCGGGAGGGGACAGGTCGCGCCTTCTGAAATCCTTTGCCACTGAAGTAGTAGCTGCCCTTGAACATGGCTTGCCGCCACTGATCGGAGTGCAAGAAGAATTGCAAAGTCCCATAGGCCTGGAATCTTTGCTGGGCAAGGGGCGCCAGCTTGAAGCCAGGAAATCATGCTGGTGTTCATGAACATCCAAGAGCTGTTGGATATTGGACATGTCAGCAGACGATTCAGGACAGGGTTTTTTTTACAGCAGGGAAAGACTGACCCAGAACCAGTGAAAGCACCTAAAGTTGAGCCACCACGGTCACATTTTTTCTCCCGGGGAAACCCAAAAAGTCAGACATGCCTGCGTGTGAGTCAAGAGTTTTAACCCCCCAAGCGGGATCCAAAAATACACCATGACCAATCGAAACTTTGTCTTTACTGGGTCCTTGAAGCTACCGGAGGTTTCACACCTGAACCCGCGGCTCCGCCTTCTCTTTCAAGTCCTCCGCTTTGCTTGCATCTGGCTCGCTGGCTGGTAAGAAACCCAAGGATCGCGCTTCAGAAACGTTGACCTGCAACTGCCACATGTCACCTGGCAAGACATGGACTTGGTGGCTTGGTGATACCTCCCAGGGTGGGTTGCATCAATTCATCCTGAGGGTCATGCTGACCTGAAATCTGGGGAGGGAATGAACCCACCAAAATTGGTTCAGTTGTGCTTTCAAGCATCGACTTTTCGGGGTCAAGAGCCACAACCTGGGATACAGATGCTGATGCTTATCATCAATACATGTAGAATCATCAATATAATATAATATAATGTAATATAATATAATACAATACAATACAATACAATATAATATAATATATATAATATAATAATATACATAATTGTATAATAATCAATAATCGTCGACCGTCAATCGTCAATCGTCAATCATCCTCATCGTCATCTTCTTATTCATCGTCAGCAGCAAGAGAAAGTGCTATAGAAAAAGCGATGGCATTAGCAACAGCAACATGCCATCATCCGTCATTCGACATTCGGAGCTTTCTGCTTCAAGCAGGTCACTGTCTGACAAAAACCACTGGATGTAAGGTGATCCCAGAATACGGATGAACCCCTTTTAACCTTGGGACAACTCCACAAACTCCACAAAGTCAAATGTTCAAACAAACCGAATTTCAGATGTAACATCTGCGGTGAGCAGATGTTACACTCTACTTTCAGTTGGAGCCCACCTTCAATGAACTACCCTGGTTGCGGCCTGCAATGCCCTTCATCAGCCCTTTGGTCGGCGGAGCCAATGGGGTGAGTTCTGTCACCACCTGATGGGCTCACAGTCGCTACCATCCAAAGAAACAAGCATCTTCCAGGGTGATCTTTCTTTATGTTCGTTGTTTTCGGTCGAAAAAAACTCTAAAGGAATAAAAAAAAACACAAGGAAACCCTGTTTGATACAAACATCCACTCGTTTCATGTCTTCATTGATATGAGGGTTTTCTGGAATAGTGGCATCCGAAATCATCCAAAATTAGACCATTTTGGTCCTGAAAGTTTCAATGCTAAAACGGTCTAATTTTGGATGATTTCGGATACCCCTCTTTAAAGTTTCAATTTGAAACCAATGGTTTTGGGATATCACCATTTTCGGAAACATCCATATGGCATCTGCCTGCGCATTGCCCGCCAAGAGCTTCTGGTGGTGGGCATAGGCAAAGTGTAAGACTTGCTTGGGAACAGCTGCCTGTTTCGTGAAACTGTACCTGAAGCCCGGGACAAAGCTCTCACTGCTATTCCCCTATGGTAAAAATTCCAACTTGGGGAGCCACAATCCCCAAAACTAAGCTCACCAAAGGGAAAAACCTCGTGGAAAAGTCTGAGCCATCAGACTTTCGGTTCCAACTAGTTCCAATCTTCCCATACTCCAAGCGACTTGATGATGCCGTCTTGTTCAACCTCCAGTTGCCAATCCACCAGAACTGCTGCCGCATGGAAGTCCAGAATCTCCCGATCTTCTGGCGCCTGAACCTCAGCCAAGCGAATCCAGCCCTCAAAGGCCTTGGTCATCCGGCCATCGGGGTGAAAATCGAAGGAGGCATCGGCAAAGGCGCCAAGGGCATCGATGGCATAGACACGGAATTCCTCGGCGATCAAAGCCCATGGGCCCATGGGATGGGGAAAAGTTGGAAACCGGTGATGGGAACCGGCCTGAAGCCGCAAGGCTATGAGAGTTTATCTGATCTGTCAGCTTTCAAGCGACCCATCCCTAGGGTTGGTAGACGTTCACAAATGTGTATGTGTGTTTCTCAAGAAAATTTGTGATATTAGTGATATCAAATATCCTTCGATGGATGGTTAAGTGCTTGTTCCATCCCAGTACAAACATGCTTTCAAATCTACATGTTGTGCTTCAAAAAACGCTCGGAAATCTCAGGATGAAAGCACCAGGCTTCTTTTCCTCCGTTGTTGAGGAGCCTCCAAATTCCATTGCTCACACGCTCAATCACAAGCAAAGCTCGGTCGGAGGAAATTTTCGGAGTGAAACCTGTGTAGAATCCCGAGACATAAGTCATGCCGCTGTAGATGGGGAAGAGGATTCTGCGTTGAGTCCCGCTGGGTCCACGAACCTCCGCATGAACTCCGAACAAGCCCTCTTTGACAATGATTTGCCCTTCTTGGCTGGCTGACTCCACTGCTGACAAGCCAAACTCACTCACGAAGGGTGAGAAGTAATATCTGATCTTGTCGGCACCATTGGTCTCAGAATCACCATACTGCACCACTCGTGCGTCACTGCTGGCGCGGGAGACCTTCATGTTTGGTGCCCCAGTGGAAGATTCGTAGCGCAGCACGTAGGGCATGGGATGAATGGACCTAGGGGTGTGGACCACGCACCAGTCCAGATGAGCAATTTCCGAAACTGAAACCCTTGGGCCGGTTCTAGTGACTCTAGTGGTTGCAGGATTCGCAGAATGGGATCCTCAAAGGTCTCCATCTGGAATCACTCACAAATCAAAGCTAAACCCTTACCGTAAGACAGATTTGAATGCCTTCCCCGTCATATCAAATAGGCCCCCAAACGAAACCTGGGTTTCGGATCTGTTGATCTGTTCATCTTGGGATATCTTGGGGTCCTTTTTAAACGAAAAAGAGGGTTGTTGTTCCGTTCTCCGCGTTTCTTTCAAGGAACAGTTCTCGCCCTTCTTCCACCACCCAATTGGCCCAGAACTTGTTGGTGGCCTTGGCCCCTTGGACCTCTGTGCCAAAGGGTGGTAGATGGCGAGCTTGTTGGGGCAAGGGAAACATGCTGGCATCTGGTTGCTCCACCGCCAGGGGTTGCAACAGAGATTCACCTGGCACCAGGCAATCAGCCGATCTACCATCGACCCTGACATCCTTGTGATACAATCTTTTTCATGGCATTTTTTTTCCATCGAAAAATGAGAATCTCGCCTGCTGCAAATGGGACTTCTAGGAAGAAAACAAGGAATCGAACGGCCGTCATGCTTGCTATCTGAAGCTGGACGGCACAATCCTTCGTTACTTGCTGATCCAAAATCCTGCGAGTCGGACGCTTTCAAAGGCTGCTCTCAGCGCTGTTCTACAAGTGGTGCCGCCAATGAATCTGATCAGTGTGAAACACATTTAGTGCAACAAGAAGCATTTCGGAACAGCTTGCCTCTCAGATTTACGACAAGAGTGTGATGCAAACGACACAGGGTGCTCCAGGTGCATTGTTGGAGTGCTACAAGAATCTCCCGTCCCAATCGAGTGGGACTCTTGACTGTCTCACAGAAGCGTCCAAGAGCAGTACAAAATGCCTCAAAAAACGCGTACAAGAAGGCCCTGGATTTTTGACCACCAATCAACCACCAGATCTTGCGGCTCTGTCCAGAAACAGTCCAACAGCTCATTATTTTTGCACACGGCTCCATGTTTCTTCGCTTTAAAATCTATGTGTGGCTCAAATCTGTGGACGCCAGACCGCTCTGGGGTCCTCCGAGAAAGACAGTTTCGAGCCACAAGCTATTGCACAACCCATACTCCTGGGGATCCAATAAGTCACAGCACTACAGCTGTGTCTGTCCATCACATGACTAGTGAAGCGGATTGCTGTGAGCTTGGCACCTGCTTAAATATCATCAAACATCCGTGTGCCAAATGCAAAATATGTTTCACACACAGAATCGATGCAGCAGTCTATGGTTTCTGCTGGTTTTTGACCTGATGGGCCCAGGGATAAGGGTTGGATCTGCTTTCTGACAAAGATCGGTTCATTTTAAACACTTCGTCATGTTTCAGGTTCCCTCTGTCAAAGGGGAACAGCACAGCTGCAGCATTGTTGCCTAGTCACGCTCCGGGGCTTTACTTTGGAACAAAGTTTTTCAGTCATATTTATTTCTCAAACACATTCCAACATTCCAATGTTTCAGCAACATGTCATGCCAAATGGCACTGATGCGACTACATTGGTGATATGGGATTCGGTAATTCTTTGGTCCCTACAAAACATCAATAAACATCATACAACGTGATAAACTCATCCAGAAAACCACCTGAAACCCACATTTTGCGGGATGAACCATCCAGAAATCCCGGATGTTGCTGCGCTTCATCGCGGTGGTTCACCACAATTTTTGGGAGCTGCCAACCTTGGTTCGCGAGAGTCAGGAAACACCAGGACCAGTGGTGCAGCTTTAATGGATAACGTGGACAACTACTATGTAACTCTACATATGTATATATATATATATATTAGTACATGTATGTATATTATTGTATATTATTGTATATTATTGTATATTATTGTATATTATTGCATATTATTGTATATTATTGTATATTGTTGTATATTATTGTATAATATTGTATATTATTGTATATTAGAGAGAGAAACCATTATCCCCAATCTTAGCAGAAAGCGGTATAAGTCATGGCCAAGTGAGTTATTTTATTGGGTGTACTGCATTCGTTAGACAGGACGCCATGTTTTTTTGTATCCAAGCATGGATGTAAGCAGCGAACATGGGAGGTTGGAACGTGTCGGAAGCATGATTACGGGAAGCATAGATTTCTCGTTTCCGCTGGGTGAACCTCTTTATTCATCTGAAACTGAGGGTTGCGAAAACCATGATTGTGCAGTTTAACATTTATTTTACATTATTTGACAAAAGCGTGAATATGCAATCCCTTCCTCCAATAAATCAACACCCCTGGAAGAAACCCTGGTTCAGTACTGAATCCGTTCATTTTGTGGTCCCATATGATGAAATGTGGTTTAGATTTGGCAGTGGCTTTCTGTGAACCCAGGAAGAAGATCGCAAACCAAAATGAACCAATGACTGGGTCCTCAAAATAGAAATTGGAGATGCCTGTGCGGTTTGCAGGCTCGACCGGCTTTAGCCTGATACCAATGCTGGGTCATTTTGGGACCATACTTGTACCCTTTGCTTGTGAAAAATGAGGGGGTCCCTTCTACTGGGGACTGGTTGGAAAGTGGACTGCAAGCCAATTTACAAAATTAGAGACATCGGGATGTACCCCTCCAACGAACCGCCTTCACAGATCATCCCTGTGTTTTCTCAACCAGTTGGGTTTGTCCGAGAATATGCTAATCCAATATATCCAATTCTTGATCATCATTTCCCCTTGCCATATTGGGGGCCACCGGACAAGGATGTGTTTTTGGCCTCAGACTTGCCAAGGTCTTCTCCAACACTAGGTGGCAGAGGCTGATGGTGAAGGAACCTGAGGGGAGCCTAACAACAATGGCTCCAACCCAAGGGAATTCTCGGCAGATATCACCATGCTCATCAACCACCATAGTTCAAATAGTCCCCCTGTCAAGATCGAAATATCCCACAAAAAAAGGACCGGAAAGGAGCAGAAGCATGGCATGAGGTTGGCATCCCAACCTCAGCTTCTGAAACCTCCAATGCCAACGTAGCATCGAGTTCACATACTGTTGGTACTGAGGATTCACACTGGAAAATCATATCCATGATCCCAACCATTCGTTTCTATGCCCCCACATAGAATAGATCATCAAATGGAAGTTGGGGGTCAACCGCTGCCTAGAAAACACCGCTGTATCTCTCGGAAGTGATCAGTATAAATCAGCTCTTCTACCCCCATGCGGACTGAAACTGACAGTGGGTGATTTTTGGGTGCGCGGCAAGACATCCTACCATGTCACTACATAGCAAGTCATCAGCATTGTGCTTCCAGTAGGACATCAAGTCATGATTCACTCCAAGGAAATGCTGGCGATATTAGTAGAATCTGCCATTGCTAGTTTCACCCATCGTGCATGTTGTAATGACGGTAAATTACCATTTCTGTACCCATTAAGTGTATTGGGACCATTGTCACACTTCAGGATTACGGCCATTGCAGTTTGCATTGGAGCAAGAAATCTTTGCTCCATCAAATCAAGGAGTCCCCAAATTGCAGGGCTTTCCCGGGTGGATCGAATCGGCCCCCAACTTTTCTTCCCCACCTTATAAACCTTGAAGAAGTTCCCTTCAGCTGAGCAAATCATCGACATGTCCGTGGATATGGAGATGCTCCTCCAGCGGAAAGGAAGATTGTTGGCAAGGTGCTCAAAGAAATCCCAAAACAAGGTCACTAAACAGCCATAATTTGACATAGCTGTCGAAAGTCACCATTTTCAGAGGTAAATCATATAAATGGGCCATGTTCAATAGCTGTGTTTACCAGAGGGTAAGTCAAGCAGCAGTGCATAGACAAAACAGGGGCATGGCAAACTGTGGGGCTCATCAAGCCGATGGGGTAAAGAAAATCCCGACCTGCAGGGACCCTCCAACTCATTAGGAGAGCAGGTTGTATGTGTATGTATATATACATATATATACACACACGGTATATATATATATATACATATATATATATATACGCTATTATAATGTATTATATATATATACACGTACATGATACGCATAAATAGGTTTTGTATCTACCTGTCCGATATATGTTTGTATATACACATATATGTGTATAACTTATAACTGGTTCATATCCTGCACCAAGTGGGATTCTGCTTGTTTCACCGCTCCACCAATCTACCAGCATGCATCCCAAAAATCAGTGCCTGCCTCACACCAGGGTTGTCGTGCGCACAGCTCGTCTCACCTCAGAGTTGTCAGTCCACGAAAATGGAACAACTGATGAATTCTGGTCAAAAATGGTCGAAAGGATCCAGCATTTGTGCTGCCATTAAAATTGAGGGGGAGGTACACACCATCACACGGAAAATCCTATCCCATCACTCTGGGTAGATCCAACTAAAGATCTCAAGAGACTCAAGTTCTTCAGACTCTTAGAACTATGATCTTGCTGATTTGCGCATTGATTCAAACAAGCCACGTCGCCCAATCATATAAATTTCAAGAAGAATCAACCTTCTGTTTCTGCAGAGGGTTAGAATATGCACCTAAGATCTCAGTTCCAAATCTACCCTTGCTGCTTGAAAGTACTCAGTAATCTGAGTGGTGGGAAACCCTCTGATGCACGATGGAAATTCACGTATATAATTGGACCGGGTATCAGGTCCCGCAACCTTCAGCACATCGCTGTCCGTTGAAATGTCCCACCAATTCGTCAAGACACTGTTGTAAAGGTTGAATACCAGTTGCAAGCCCTCGGCACAGCTGCCTGGCAGGACTTGGAATGATGAACCATGCCGAATTCCACTTGAAACTCTTGAAATTTAGCCTGGCTACCACCCTTAGGAGCCTTAGCAACTGCCAGGACTTTCCCATTTCTGAAGGGATGACTTCAAAGGCGCCTTGATCATAGAGAACCCCAACATTTGGCGGCGGTTCTTCAAATGGGAACCCCAAAATCATCCAGAATTGGTGGAAAAAAAATCATGGGCCTCAACTCTTCGAAACCTCCCAAATCTGAGAAACACCCACATTTTGGTTGTGGGTGCCAGGCATAGACCCCAGTACCAGGGAAGTCAAACGTGCCATCTGCGACACAATAAGCAAGTTGTGCTCCTGCGGCTCGCACAGCTCCAAAGCAACAGTGTGTGAAATGGCAGTGTGTCAAAACCTTGTACCCCTGGTGAACATCAAAATAGCTGGTAAATGGATATTCATCCCCCTAAAAATGGTATTTATAGGTATTGATCCATACCCAAATGATATCGGAGAAAACGGGGCCCAGCTGCCCAGCCCGTCTTGTAACAGAAGTTCAAGGCCGTGCAGAGTGATGGAATTGGGACGCGATAGACCTCATGTGCCGTGCCATGTAGAAAACCCCATGGTTTGAAAATGGAAAGGGGATGTTGTTTCTGTCTTGCTGGATCAAAACCCATTCTGAACAATATTCGGGCAGTTATTCACATCCATGACTACCTCCTATTTGCTGCTCATCTGTATAGAATATCATGGACATAATGTCCAGTTTCTATCATTTTTCGAGGCGCAAAAAAACCTGCATTTCTTGACCTGGTCAGACTACCTTGGCTCCCGGGCAGTCTGGAAACTACCATCCAAGCCACTG